CTGCCCAGAGTCATCCTGTGCCCCCTCACCTCTGCCCAGGGTCATCCTGTGCCCCCTCACCCCTGCCCAGAGTCATCCTGTGCCCCCTCACCCCTGCCCAGAGTCATCCTGTGTCCCCTCACCCCTGCCCAGAGTCATCCTGTGCCCCCTCACCTCTGCCCAGGGTCATCCCGTGCCCCCTCACCCCTGCCCAGGGTCATCCCGTGTCCCCTCACCCCTGCCCAGAGTCATCCTGTGTCCCCTTACCTTGTCCTGCACATTGTTCTGAAGGTACCGCCAGCTCTCCCATCCCTGTAGGGTGAGGACCTAGAGTGCTGGGGACCAGACTAGGATTTCATAGGCGAGGAGGAGGGGGATGGGCAGGCTTTTCTGCAGTGAGCCGCTGTTCCCTGCGTGGGTCCCAAGGGACAGGAACAGCGTGTTTTATCTCCCCGAAACCAAGACCCTCACCTCCAGATAAAGGGCTGTGAGTCAGGGGAGGTCCCACCAAGCTGCTTGCTGCTGATAACAGGCTGTCGCTGTGGGCCTCACAGGAGCTCTAGTGGGGAGGGGCAGGGGAATCCTACAGCCTGCTTCTAATGACGCCCCCTGTGGCCGCCTGTGACTGGCTGCCATTGTGCTGACTGAGGTGGAAGTGGTTTTTCCCTGCCCCTCCCGGTCCCTGCAACCCACCTGCATCTAGCTGCTCACCCCCCATCCGCCCTTGCCCAGCCCCCCACCTCTCTTATCCCTTCCCCCTTCTGGTTCTTCTCGCTGTTCTTGTCATCCATTTGGGTTTCATGGTGCCCAGGTTTTTGTCTCTCCTTTGTCTCTCTACTTAGGGCTAAATCCGAATCATGTTTTAAGAAGACCTTGTCTTTACCCCCCTGGCATGTAGCCTTTTCCAGCCTCCCTTGGGCCGAGACACAGGCCACAGCAGGGCTGGAGGCGAGGTATAAGGTAGGGCCAGGTCCCCGGATGTGGGTGCAGGCAGGCCTTCTCAGAACTCCAGGCAGTGGGGTGGGGGGCATCGCTCCCTGCCTTGTGCCGTTTTGCCTCTAGAGTTAGGGGTTCACAGCTTTTCCTCCGACGGCCTAGGAGGACCCGCCGAGCAGTCTGCAGTGTGCACGGGAGGGGTGAGGTTGCAGATGAGGACAGTCCTCGATGCTGTGGCAGGCCAGTTCCCTGGTCCCTCCTTGGTTTCTCAGAAGCTCTATTGCTGCCCTTCTAGACAGTGAGGGAGAGGGAAGCCTGGAGACGGGGCCTCACACCACGGCAGTGCACATGTGCAGGACTCAGAGTCTGAGCTTGGGTCTGGGACTCCACAGCTACACCCCACTGTAAGGGCGGTTGCCAGTCCTGTGTTCCAGGCACAGGCTGAGTGTGACAGACATCACTATCCCAGGCCCGGCCCCACAGTTGGTGAGCTCCCCTCACATCTGAGACACACAGACCGGAGCCACTGGAGGAAGTGATTTCACAGTGAAGCTGGGGTTCTATAAAGAAGAAAGTAGAGGGAAGTGATAGGGACTAGCCAAGTCCTTTGTAACACCCGGCAGGAAGGGCCCTCGGGGAATGCTTGTGCTGTGACCTCACGGGGATCCAGGAGATGAAGAATGAGCAGGCACATCATGTGCAAAGGTCCCGTGGCAGGTGCTGGTTTGGCAGGTCTGGCAGTCAGCAAAGAGGCCAGAGCAATTGGTGTGGGCTAAGCAGAGAGAAGCCAGGGATGAGGTGTAAGAAGCTGACAAGCCAGGTGGGGGACCAGCAAGGAGGTCAGTTGGTCAGTCAGTGACAGTATCCAAACCTGTGGATGAGGTCATGGGCTCATGTGCTTCCGAACAGCCCAGTGCTGGGTGCCGGAGTGTGTGCATACACATGTACTCTGTGTACGTGTGTATGTGTGTATGCGTACATGTGTGCATTATGCCTGTGCACTGTGCCTGCTCTCATTAAACACAGTGGACTTAGGGTTCTGTTGCCGTAGAGACACCATGACCATGCTAACGCGTGTAAAGGAAAACCTTTAATTGGGGCTGGCGTACAGTGTCAGAGGTTTAGTCCGTTACCATTACTGTCGTGGTGGGAAGCATGGCAGCATGCAGGCAGACATGTTGTTAGAGAAGGAGCCGTGAGTTCCAGAGAATTCTACGTCTTGATCCTCAGGCAGCAGGAGGAGACTGTGAGCCACATTGGGCAGAGCTTAAGCATGGGAGAACTCAGAGCCCACCCCCACAGTGACACACTTCCTCCAACAAGGCCACACCTCCTAAAAGTGTCACTACCTATGGGCCTATGGAGGCCATTTGCTTTCAAACCACCACAGCCGTACTGGAAATGGGGTGCTAAGGTAGGATTCAGCCACCAGCCCCGGCACAGCGAGTGTGGCAGAACCAGTGTGGCCTGCATATGTCTCATAGCCCCATGGTTCCCCCCCCAAACACCCCCCAGTTTCCCCTCCTCCTCTCCAGTATCCCCTGGCTGCTGAGATTCAGGGAGGCAGGATGAGTGTAGGGAGGCTGGTAGCCCTGCCTGGACTGTGGGAAGGTCTGCCACACCACAGTATGGCCTGCATTTCCTAGTGTTGGAGGGTGTAGGTTGGCTCATTGGAACTGTTCTGGCCGGGCAAGCTGCACACCCACATTCTCAAATGTCCCCTGCCTCCTGAGGCTGGGGCCAGGAGCAGTTGACCAGCCGGGAGGGACCGCAGCTGACCAGCCGGGAGGGACCTGCCCGCCTTGGATACTACCTAGAACCTTTCTCAGCTCAGCCAGTGGCTAAAGCAGAGTTGCCTCCCTGTGATCATCCGAGCATGATCTGTGAGACACAGCTGAGGGCAGAGTCCTAGGTGCACATGCCAGGGGCTGTCAGACTGTCCCCTGGATGCTGCTAGAGCTAGCTGAGTCCAGACTGGGGACAGGAGGTGGGCAGGGTCAGTAATGTGGTACAGGCCAGGGCATGGAGCGTGAGGCCAGCAAGCTAGTTCTTTTGCTGGCCCCAGCTGAGTCTGAAGGCCAAATGCTCTTACAACTTAAGTCATAAGAACTGATAAACTAAAATTTTTAAAAAACAGCTACATTTTTCTCTTCTTGTAAACTCCACCTTTCTGACCATACTGAGGTGAGCTCTCCAAGTGTCAGACATTGGGCAGTACCAAGAAGGGACACTCACTCCAGCAGACCTCCTGGGCCATCGCCTTCCCGACTGTTCTCAGTGAAATGTCTTTCCCAGCCCTGATGAATCCTCACACCAGCCCGAGGCAACCTGAGATTGAGGGTGCAGGTGCAGAAGGCTCTAGAATGTTCTGTAGCCTCATGTTTTATGATGTGGTACCTCATGGAGGTGGTGGCACAGGCATCAGAGATGTCAACAGCCTCCATTGTCTGAGGCTGAGGTGAACTAATGAGAGGGAGGGACTGTCATTCTGCATCTTCCCCAGGAGCTGCCGTCCCGTTGTCCATCCTGAGTCACCCTTTTTTCCTCGGCCTTGCCTTTGCGAGTGCAGGCAGCCGTGCTGTGTGGCATTGCTGGAGACAGGGCTTGAATCCAGGCTCTGGGCCAGGCCCACAGAGAGCTGAGGGCACAGCTGTATTTCCCATGGTGTCAGGTGACGATGTCACTGTGTCACCCCCATCGGGCTTGTGTGGGTGGGTTTGTGGGCCTCACCGTTACAGCAGGTGTGAGTGGGGCTGTCAGAAGGCTGGGGGGATGGACGGAGCCGAGCACCAGGAAGTCCCGCCCACACGCAGAAGCTGGACTGAGGGCAAAGGACAGCAGCCGTCAGTTGGCCCACGCACCCTTTCTGGTGTTGGCCCACCAGGGCATGCATGCATTGCCCTGACAGCAATGCATCTGGGGGCTTTGGGTCCAAAGCCTTGGGCAGAGTCATTGACATCGATCTGTTTTCGACCCTGCCCCACCCTCATTTTACAATTTTGAGAGATTTCACATTGGATTTTTAGTTTGAAAGTTCATCAAGTACCTTGGTGGGGGGGGGTGTTTGTCTGTGATTTTGAGGAAAATAGCATTCTGCTTAGGTTCATGATTGAAGACAATAGTTGATAATGGTAGTTTATGTTCACGTTAAGTCAGTGTGGTCAGGCGTGTTCAGCACTCCCAGTTCTGGTCTGTGTTCAGTATTCTGTTCTCTCTCAAATGGGGCCTACAGCAGGACATCTGTGCCTGCCTGCCTGCCTGTCTTACACACCTCTCTCTCTTCTCCCCTCACCCCCACTCCCTCTCTCTGACTCCATCTCTCTCATTTCCCTTCTCCTCTCCCTTTCTCTCCCCTCCTCCCCTCTCTCCTTCCCTCTCTTTCTTTCTCCCTCCGCTGAAGCCCAACAGCGCCTCAAGACCTCTTTAATCTAGCAAGTTTTGTGCTTGAAGTCCTGAGATGTCTGTGAGTTTGCAATATCACCATGTAACACACTGGTTTCTCTGTCGACGGCCAGTACTAGACCCAGAAGGTGAAAAGGCTTCGGCTGAAGGAGCAGAGGCCTCCACAGGCAAAATGGAAGAGGAGGAAGAAGAAGAGGAGGAAGAGGAAGAGGAGAGCATCCCAGGGTGCACTTTGTTCATTAAGAACCTTAACTTCAGCACCACAGAAGAGACACTGAAGGAAGTGAGTTGGGGAACAGAGGGCTGGGATGCAGCCTGCGGCCTCCTGGCAGCATCACATCCACCCCCTTGTTCACCTCAGGGGCGGGTCCTCATGCAAGGGAACAGTGGTGGCTGCGCACTTCCTGGTGACAGGGGCCTGTCTTTTGCAGGTGTTTTCCAAAGTGGGAACTGTAAAGAGCTGCACCGTCTCCAAGAAGAAGAATAAAACAGGTATTTATCCCCACGACCCAGCAGGAGCACTTCCTGAAGGAGTGTGTGAGGGAGGGAGTCGGGACCCCACCATGGCATCTCCGCCTCCTCTTCTGGTTTCCAGATGTCACCCTCCTCTATGGTGGTCCCTGGCCTGCCTCAGGCCTCCTGCTCTTTGGCAGATCCAACTGACATATTGGACCCCTTCCTCTAGAATGTTCCCTAGTAGTGAGCGGCTTTGAAACAGTCTCATGGGGCAGCAGTATGAAGCTGGAGCCTCTGCCTCTTCCCTTCACCTCTGTGTTCTGGAACTTTCCCAGGTGTGCCAAGAAATGGCTGACCTTGGACTTTCCATCCTGTTTTCCAAGGGAAATACCCAGAAGAATAAGTTCTAGAACATTCTACCAATGCATTAATCTTGTGCCTCCCTGACCCGCAGGCACCTAGACCTCATGCCTTTCCTTGGTCCCAGGGATTCTCCTGAGTCCTGGCGGACCACCTCCTGGCTTCCTGCAAGGGCTAGGTAGGGCCATCCCCATCCGGAGTCTTCTTCAGTTAGGCAGGATTGGTGGGGCTAGCGTGTGGGCTGGCCCAGCATGTTCCTGAATAGTAATGGACAGCTATGGTCCTGCTGGGTGTCTGTCAGGCAGGTTCCAGGAGCCCACTGGTGTAGCCATGGTCACCCTGTTACTTCCCACTCCCTCTGAAGGGCAGATTCTGATTAGGAGGTGAGCTATCCAGTCAGTCATCCACTAGTTAATAGCCAAGGAGACCCAGGGAGCAGCCATGTTGCCCCATTTGGGATTCACCTTAATGCTCGGTCCTAGGTCTCTTAGCACGAGCTAAGTCTTGTTTTGAAGGAAGAGGGGTGTGAGAAGGGAAGAGAAGTGGAGGCCCACCAGTGGAGTCTTCCGGAGTGGTCGGCTCTGGTGCTGGGCCCCGCCCACTGTGGCCTGCTCTGGTGCTGGGCCCCGCCCACTGTGGTCTGCTCTGGTGCTGGGCCCCACCCCACTCCCCTCCCTCTCCCTCTTTCTCTCCCTCAGGAGCGCTCCTCTCAATGGGGTTTGGGTTTGTGGAATATAAGAAGCCAGAACAGGCCCAGAAAGCCCTCAAGCAGCTCCAGGTAAGATGGGGGTTCTGGGTCCCCATGGTGAGAACAGGGCCCAAGAAAGAGTAAGGGCCTCTCTCACCCTCCATGGCCACTTTGACTCACTCGTTCTTTTGCCGTGATTCCAGCATGCTTACTCTATTTCGCAGGCTCTTTATGGAGCGTTCTAACCCACCTGAGCCTCACGTAAGCTTGGCTCTGACTACAGTCCCTAGACGCAAAGCTGCTGCATTAGCAAAATGACCCCGGGAAATCCCTCCGATATCCCAGGAAATACAGTGAGTGGGGCTGTGTACACATGCAGACCCGTCTGTCTATCGGACATTCTCTCGGACCATGACTAAACCAGATGCGCTCGCTCCTCCCTCTGCTGGGAAAGACAGGCTTCAGACCTGGACAGATGCATAAGAGCACAGTCACGGAAGTCACGCCTCCCCCAGGGGATGCCGCAGAAAACACAGAGGGCTCCTTAAGGAGGTGACAGGTGACCAGTACCTGTCATGACAGACGTCACCTGCTCAGAGCTCTGGGAGGGAGCAGCTAGGAGGTGGGGACGGTAAGTACAGAGGCCTATGGCAGGCCTTCTGAGGCAGGAATGAGGAATGAGCTCTGTACGTTTGAGAGGCAGAGAGGCCAGCCTGATGAGCAGCATGGGGACAGGATGCTGGGACAGAAGGAAGAGGTGTAGACACCCAGACCTAGGTCCTTTGAAGGGCTAGCACCAGGCCTGAAGGCAGCAGAAGAGCGAGCTCTGACTGGAATTTTAGGAGTGTTTCTAGAGCTGCTATGAAGAACACACATAGTCTAGGGGTAACTGGGGAACCCTTGAACCCTTCCAAGACCTCACCCTGCCTTAGACCAAGGAAAAAGTTGAGAGAGGGAGAAGAGGAAAAGGCAAAGAGGCAGATTGTGATCCTCCACAGCAAGAGAGGAACTGTGGCCTGTGGCAGCCCTAGAGGGACTTGAACCTTGCTTAAGAAGAAAGCCACAAGGCCAGTACTCAGGAGGACCTCTGAGTTCCGGACCAGCCTGGTCTATATAGCAGGTCTTGGGCTAGTCTGATGTATATAGTAGACCCTGTCTCAAGAAAATAAAGGCAGAGCTCTCTGCTGTTGCCAGTCGTCGGGTCATGCAGGGCAGAGGACACAGCTCAGCGCGGGCCCTGTGAGGTTTTATCTTTCGTCTACTCGAAGTCACACTGCGTTCCTGGACTTCGTGTCTTCATTTGACTCAAATTCAACTCTGAAAATTGTGGTCCATATTTTCTCTTTCGTGATTCTTAAGAGTTGGTAGCGCTGCATTTGCACGCATGCCATGTGCTCTTCTATGCACGAACGTGTGTGTACATCACTGCCGGGGATTGGGCGTCCAAAGCCCCACATGATGTATTTCCTGGGATATCAGAGGGATTTCCAGGGGTCATTTTGCTAATGCAGCTGCTTTGTAAGCCGGGGACTGCAGTTAGGGCCTAGCTTACATGCGGGTGGGTTAGAACTTTCCATAAAGAGCCTGTGGACTAGAACGAGCGCTCTAGCTAGACCTGCAGGCTCCTCTCCCTGAGCGTGCGTCTAATGGTGGAAACGGCTCCCTGAGTGGCCGGGAGGTCCGGGATGCCTAGGAGACCGGGTCTCTCTGGCCACCTGCTGGTCAGCTCTTGTGTTAAAGCCATCTCTGTCCTTGGTTCTCACCAGCCCCTCTGCCTGGGACAGGCTGGGTGCTAGAAAAGGTGAGGGTGAGTTAGTGACCAGGCCTGGTCATTTTGTGTTCTAGGGTCACGTTGTGGACGGCCATAAGCTGGAGGTGCGGATCTCCGAACGGGCCACTAAGTGAGTCCTGAGATGTCTTCTCTGTCCTTGGATGGGTGACAGCTCTCTATGTCTGACCTTGGTGCTGATTGTTCTGGTGTCTTACGGTTCTTAAATGCGCCCCCCCCCATACACACCCCAATTCCTCAGCCACTTGGGGTTCTTCCCAACTAAGGTTTCACGTGCCAACTTTGATACCTGCTTCCCTGTCTGACTGCCCCAGTCTGTGTCCATCCCCTGGGGAGAGAGCTTAGACATGTTTTTATAATAAAAGGAACAGCTAGGGTTGTAGCTCAGGGGTAAAGTGCTGACCCAGAATGCCTGAGGCCCTCCCTCATGGGGTTCCTTCTGATGGTCCTTGTTACAGGACAGCAGCAATGGGCTACACTATTCAGGGGAGAAGATAACTCTGGTCCCTGTCACCCTGAGTGGGGGATTGGCTGACTTCCTCTGCTTTCATCCGGCCCCTTCTGTAGGCCACTTGAGAGGACAGGGAGGGGTTTTGTGTGGGAAGGTGACAAGATTGGTCTAGGTAGAAGCAATTGGCAGCCCAGATGATGTAGTGTTTTTCCCCCACCCCATTCCAGGCCTGCCGTGACATCCACTCGGAAGAAGCAGGTCCCCAAGAAGCAGACGACCTCCAAGATCCTGGTGCGGAATATCCCCTTCCAGGCCAACCAGAGGGAGATCCGGGAGCTTTTCAGGTAGGTCCTCATACTGAGCTGTGGGCACAGCGCCCCGTGGAGGCTGGGAGGCTACTCAGGTCTTGATTTCGGTGCTGTAAGCCCCACGATGGGCCTTCCAAACTTTGCCCTTGATGCGACTTCCTTAATCTCAGAGATTATGGTGCAAGAGTGCCCTGGTCTCCTTTCTCAGAGGCAGGAGGATGGCTGGATGTGTGCCTGTACCCTAGGGCTGTCACCAGATATCAGGAGAGACAGCAATTCTGGTGGCTGCATTCTGTGGTTCCCCTGTGGGATTTACCGACAACCCTCTGTGCAGGTTTTGCTCCAGGAGAGTCAGTTCTTTCAAGGTGGGGCCCAGGCACTGGGACTTTCACCTCAGGTCCCCAGAGGACCCTGTTTTCCTCATGGGATTGAGTCACCAGTCTCAGTTGCTCTCTGGGGAAAAGCCATTTCGGGAGGACAGTGAACGTGACATACAGAATACAGGCCATGGTCTGTTAGTACAGGATGCAGTCTCAGCTTGGGACCCAGGCAAGTGACGAGAGTCAAAGACAACCTGGCTGGGACAGGGACAGAGGTAGAAGCTTCAGGGCTCTCCTTCCCAGGCCATGACGGCAGGCAGGAGCCTGACGCAGGAGCCTGGCCGTCGTCAGGCTCATTCTGCTCATGGTTTGAAAGGTGGTCCATCAGTTTCAGTTCTTTTTCTCCAACCTTTTAATGTTCTCTGTATTACTTCTATTTTTGCACCATGTGCATGCAGTGCCTTCAGAGGCCAGTGGAGGGCGTCAGATCCCCAGGATCTGGAGTTACAGATGGTTGTGAGCGGCCACGTGGGTGCTGGGCATGAACTCAGGTCCCCTGGATGAGCACCCAGTGCTTTTAACCACTGAGTCAACCATGTCTCCGGCCCTCCGTCATCTGAACTCTGACAGTCTGAACCGCACAGGCCTCAGGCCGGCCGCCCCCACGTGCACAGAAGAGCAGTGTGACGTGAGTGGCTCTGCACTGAGTCTCAAGTTGGAGGAGACTTTTCTGTGATCCCATGAGAGGGCACTGTGTCCTGAGGGACCCCAAAGCACGTGTTCTCAGAACGTGAGGTGGGTGAGTTCACTCCACCATGCCAATTGCTAGGTTCAGCTGGGGTCTTAGAGAACTCAGGGGCCTCGAGTCCCCTGTGTCCTCTGCTGTGCTGAGGTGCTGTCCAGGGAGGAGCCGTGTCAGGAGTGTCTGCCTTTGCCTGTCACTTTCTCAGGTGGTGTGTCTGGTAGAATGACCTGTCTGCGACTTGCAAGGCAGACACCAGCTACACGACACATGCTGAGTTGGAGAGGGAATTATCTCTGTGAGGCCTGTGTGTTTCCTCTTGCTGTGAGGTTAAGAGATGAGCTGCTGCTTGGGGAATCGGCTTCAAAACCCATCCCTTCTCTCCCTGCTCTTCCCCATTCCCTGGGCTGGGGGCGTTCACCGCCCTGGTCAGCCCAATTGATGCTGCATGCTATCCCCTCCGATGTCTGAGCTCCGGTACCTGGTAACATGGGTCACATTCGGGGGTGAGGGGCCGTTTTTTTTGTTTTTTGTGTTTTGTTTTTTCTGTACCCACATACAGCACATCAGGCAAAAGGAGAGGGAGTGTCAGCTCCCTGCACGCCTGTGGTGCTTCTGCTTTTTTTTTTTTTTTTTAAAAAAAGGGAGTCCAATCTCATAGCTGCCGCATCAAAAGGAGTTGCTAAAAACCGTGCTTGTTGATCAGGAACCTCGTCCCTCGGAGATGACAGTGTCACTGAGATCCACAGTGTATTGGGGATGACATTTATCCAGGGAAACAAAAGACTGCAAGGCAGGAGAAGGTGCTTTGTTTGATCTGTGTATTATGCTTCCGTTTTTAGTAGACAGGGAATTAGTGTCTGCCGAATGTACTTACATGTGGCGTCTCTTCCCCTCCGCCATTGTTCTGAGCGGTCATAAACCCCCTGAAGCTGGAACCGTCCTGTACAGGCTCTGCCTTGCTTTTGTTAGCTTCCCAGCGATTGGAGAGCTGAGGCCGATCACAGTGGTGGACAGCAGGGGTCACTGTGAGACTTCCCAGGGATGCACAGGCCGCTGATGCCTCTGCTATGATTCTAGACAAAGCCACCCACCGGCCAGCGAAAGGTCACCGACTAAGGGAAGGAAGGCTTCAGGGTTTGGGAGAGCTGGTTGACCTACTATGTCAGGCAGGATTAGGGGTCAGGGAGGGCTTTTCCTGGTACATACACTTGAAATCACAACCCATGTTTCTGGTGTGTGCCTGTGTGCTGGGCTCTGTGCCTGCTGCCTGCCATGCCAACAGGCTTGGAGCTTGCAGCCCTGGCCATGGGAGGGCTTCTGCTGTGGCCAAAGTGAACTCAAGGCCCAGCCTACTCAAGATTGCATGTCTAAGCTGGCCATGTGGCTTTCAGGACTCTGAACAGAGCTTGGTCTTGTATATCTGGTTTCCTCCCAGGTTTAGAAGGACTTGTCCGCCCCCCTCCCATCCCCCAGTTGTCTTAGTGGGGACATCGGTGAATGTGTGTTTGTATGAGGTACTGTGCTAGGACCCCAGGGAAGGCACCTGTGTCAGGAGTGTCCTCTCTTCTGCCACTGTCTGCAGAGAACAGGGAAGAGGCTGTCGGCTCTGAGAGGGAGCAGTCTCAGTGAATGGTGACCGTGATTCCATCACCAAAACTGTAGGGACAAGATTTGAACCCCAGAGTCTGGCGCCGGTAGAACCTGTGTCTTTACCCAGGAGGTTCTCTCTAGCTTTTCTCATTGTCTTCCTTTCCCTGGGTGCGTGCCTCTCACACCGCCATTCCCTCTCTCCCATCAGCCCCAAGGATGCCTGGAGGACCCGACTGCCCAGGCCTGTCACCCCTGTGTAAGGACCAGCAGGGTTGCTCAGAGTGTGTGTACCTTGTGTGTGTACACACCGCAGCTCAGGTCGCACAGCTGCCTGAGCCATAGGCTCAGCTGCAAGGGCCCCATTGTCTTCCTTGGGGCTACCTTAGCAGGAGTCCCTAATTTCAGGAAAAGCAGAATCGCCCTTCCCAAGAAGGAGGTTCTACAGGGCTGGCCTTGTGGACATTGCGGGCTGCAGAGTCACACAGACACCACACCTGATTTGGTGTCCATTCTGAAACCTGGTGCATGGTTTTCACGGGGCAGGGACCTGACAGAGGTACGGCAGGACGGTTAGGATGTTTGGAGGCAGAGCAGTTGTGACGGTCAGCCAGCTGCGGTTTTCTTGTCTGTTGGAGAGGAACCGTAACTTGGCTCCTGCTACCTCCCTGCAAAGGGCATGGCCTGGGGAGGGATGGACAGACAGACAGGAGAGAGGATCCCCACCATCATTCTCAGTCTGATGGGCACAGCTCAGACTGTGCTTCCCAATGGTTCCTTTCCCCGAGTGACTGCAGCATCTTTGGGGCCTCGCCATCCTCACTTTGGGGTGGGACAGGGAGCATGCCCAGCCATAGGCTCCCCTTGGGTTGCTGTGGACTTCACAGAACCCTGTTTGGCTTGAAACTTTGAAAGACTAGTATCAGGAGTCCACGGTGGGAGGGAAGGCCTGGGTGGCAGGCAGGGAGGATGCACGGCCACAGATCCCCTGGGCAGTTTCTGCTCAGAAGTTTTCATTCTCTTCTTGAGGTTAAGAAAGAACACTGTCCCTTTCCTGTCTGGTTAGAGTGTGCCTGCTACACTTCCCTCTCTGCCCCTTGTCTATAGGTCCTTAACTTTGCCTTCCTGGCCATGGACACAGGCCATCTGTGTGAGGAATGACCTAGCTTCTCCCTTGCCTTCATACCTGAGAGGTGTTCACTGGAGCTGTCCCAGGCCTAGGACTGGGTATCTTAGAGAACACCACACTGACGCTACAGACTGGATAGCTAGCAGGACATCGTATAGAAACGGAGCCTAAGCCTGGAGGGCCTGAGTGTTTTCCCTGGTCCCCAGCCAGTCACCACAGAACCCAGGTACATGGCTGTTCTGTAGGAAGGCCCTTACTGTTGCCTCCGTGTCAGTCCCAGACAAGTCCCTTTCCTCAGTCTCCTCTATAAAGTGTTCCTTATTGTTGCCCACCCTCCCAGAATGCAGAGCCCTTGGGATGTGGAAGTTGCCCCACAGAGGCAGGGCCTGTGTCCCTCCTAAGACTGGCTGTTGTAGAGTGTCACTGTCGCCTGGCTCACTACAGCCTGAGGTACCATTGACCAACTGTAGGCCGTATGTGGCCCAGATATGGTTTATATGGGTTGGCGCACAGTGGTGAGCTAGGTCCTGTAGGGAGGTGCCCACAGCCCTGGTTCTGAGGATAGGAAACCCTGTCAGCCTGGGTCCCAGGCAGCTCTGCCAATAGCACTCACCAGAGAAGTTCCCTGCTCAGCCCCTTGCTCTCACCCCATCCCGCCCACAGGCACGAAAGGTCGAGCTTCTCCTGGATTTGAGACCCTGAAGCCCCTCCAGCTCCCCCTCCCTCCTTCCCTCTCTCCCTGCCAGCTTCCCCTGAGTGGAGACACACACACACACACACACACACACACACACACACACACACACACTGGTTTCCTGTATCCTAGACTTGTCAGACATGAAGACATGATGTCAGAGTCTGAGAAAGGGCCCGGCCCAGGCCCCTTGTCCTGCTCCACCGTCCCTAGGTCTGTGGCCTGAGTCTCATCTCAAAATCAGAAACCTAGGGTGCCCAGTGCCAGGCACAGCAGTGCCTCTGAGAGAATCACCGTGTAGCTTGAGGCCTTTGGCTCACTCCCGCCTGGGTCCCTTCCACTTGCTCTGTTGGCCTCTGCCCCCGTGAGCATCTGCTTATTGAACAAAACCCCACCCCAGACTAGAAGATCAGATGTCACTGGAGTCATACAGTGTGCATGGGAGCCTGGTACCCAGTGGGTATACAGAAAATGCCCATGGAGTATGCAGCCCTACTGTGCAGAGCCTTAGAATGCCGATGAAGTCCAAGTTGGGAGGCACAGAGGGGGTAAGCAGTTTGC